AAGAAATCACCTCTTCTACTCTTCCAATCAAAGTGCATATTCCCTCTGCCAAGCTTTTGCCCACGAAGAAAACCTCTCTATATTTCACTTGACTCTTTTTGCCATCCTCACCATTTGTATTTCCTCCTATATTTGTGTCAGCTGCAAACTTTGCGATATCCTACCACTTTCCTTATCCAAGTCATTAATATATACAGAAAATAATTGTGGTCCCAGCACTGATCTTAGTCACAAGCAGCATTCCCTCTAATTTTCTTATCAGCTGCACGGGCCTCTGAGACCACGTGCAGCAGTGGCATTCCAGAACTGGAAATCAATGCCGTGATTGGCATGTTGATGCTGATTGCCATCCACATAACATTGGAGAGGCTGCACGTGCAAGTTAAAGGGAAAGTTGGTTACAGGTTCCCTGAAAATGCCTCCTTCATCCCAATTCTCTGACTTCTATTAGTTAGCCAATCCTCTAAACATGCTAATACACTATCTCTAGGTAGTGTATACTGTGGGAAAATGTGAAGTTGTTCACTTTGGAAGGAAGAATGAAAAAGCAGAGTATTCCATAAACAGAAGAAGAATTCCAAGGTGAAGAAGGATTTAGGTATTCTAGTGCAAATCACAAAAGATTAGTATATAGGTATAGCATGTAATTAAGAAGGCTAACTGAATGCTAATTCTTATTACAAGAGGAAGTGAACATAAAAGATGTTATACTTTAGCTATACAGGGTATTGAATGAGACCATATCTCAGATACTGTGCGCAGTTTTGTCTCCTTATTTAAGAAAGGATGTAAATGCATTGGAGATGGTCAGAGGAAGTTACTAGATTGCTACTAAAATGAGTGGGTTGCCTTAAGAGGATAGGTTGGACAGGTTGGGCCTGTTTCCACTTGTGTTTAGAACAATGAAGGTTATTTGATTGACATGTACAAGTTCGCTGACAAAGTGGATGTGGACAGGATGTTTCCTCCTGTGGGGGAGTCCAGAATTAGGGCCACTGTTTTAGCTTAGGAGTTGCCCTTTCAGAATAGAGATGAAGAGAATGTTTTTCTCTGAGATGGTTGTGCAACTTTGAAACCCACTGCCTCAGAAGGCAATGGAGATGAAGTCATTAAATATTTTTACGGTGGAGTTAGATAGATTTCTGTTAGGCAGGGAAGCAAAGATTACTGGGGTAGATGGGAACATGGAATTCAAAACACACAGATCTGCTACCATCTTATTGAATGACAGAGTAGGCTCCAGGGGCAAATGGTCTACTTCTGCTTCTGTTTAGTATGTTTATATTCATAATTACTGGTCAATGTGAGTGATTGGGTGTCAGTACAGTGATGGTGGGTCAAATTGAGTGATTGTGAGTAGTTATGGGGTCAGTGTGAGTGATTGGAAGATTCAGTTTTAGTGAATGGGGAGTCAATGTGAATGATGGAGACAGCTAGTATGACTGTTTGGAGTGCATTAGCATGAGTGATGGAGGGTAAACATGAGAAATTAGGGGATCAGTGTGTGTGATTAAGGTCAGTGTGAATGATTGAGGAAGGGAGTGTGAATGTTTGAGGAAAAGAATGTGAATGATTCAGGGAGACAGTATTAATGATGGGGGGTCAGTGCGAGTGGTTGGGAATCACAGTGAGTGATTGGGGATTGGTGTGAGTGACTGGGGGTCACTGTGAGTAATGGGGGGTCAGTGTGAGTGATTGGAGGTCAGTGTGAGTGATTGGGGGTCAGTGTGAGTGATAAGGGTCAGTGTGAATAATTGGGGATCAGTGTGATTGGGGTCAGTGTAAATGACTGGGGATCAGTGCTAATGATTGGGGATCAGTGTGAATGGTTGGGGATCAGGGTGAATGACTGGGGATCAGTGTGAATGATTGAGGGTCAGTGTGAATAATTGGGGATCAAAGTGAGTGATAGGGGATCAGTGTGAGTGATTGGAGATCAGTGTGAATGATTGGGGGTCAGGGTCATTGATTTGGGAAGTGACATTGAGAGTTATTGTGTGACTCTGGGGTCAGTATGAATGATGAGGAGGTAAATTAGGTTTTTCTGTGCACAGATCGTTGAAATTGGCTGGAGCAGTTAATATGGTTTTTCAGAAAGCTTACAGGGTCATGGACTTTATGTTTTAGGCAGAGAGTGCAAAAGGAAGAGTATTATGATGAAAATGTATAAAACACTGGTTCAGCCTCAGTTGAAGTATTGTGCTCAAATCTGGGCACTGTACTTTAAGGAAGTGAAGGCTTCATAGAGAATGGAGAAAGGATTTATGAGAATGGTTCCAAGGAGTTAGTATGTCAGTTATATGAATAGATTGGGGAAGCTCTGACAGTTCTCTAGAGGACAAGATGAAGAGATTTGATAGAAGTATTCAAGATCATGAGGGAATTTGGTCAAAGCAAATAGGGAGAAACTGTTTTCATTAGCGTACGTCCATGGGAATCAGGGGCAAACCTCTCCTCTGGATGGAGTCAATCCAAACACAAAGGAAGGTGACCATTGATGTTAGAGTCATCCCAGTCCAAGCACATCTCTGCAGGAGTTCCTCAGGGTAGTGCCTTGGCCCAATTATTTTCACCCAGTTCATCATGGACATCTCCTCATCATAAGGTCAGAAGTGGGGATGTTAACTGATAACTGCACAATGTTTAGCACCATTTGTGGAACCTCAACTAATGATGCAGTCTGTGTCCATATACAACAAGACCTGGGTAATATATGGCTTCAGATAATGTCGCAAGTGACATTCGTGCCACGTAACTGCCAGGAAATTACTGTCTCCAGCACTGTCTCAGCTGTTCTACTACATCACTGGCATCTGGGATAAATGTCCCAGTATGTCCTGTACACAAAAAGCAGAGAAATTCCAACCCAGCCAAATACCGCCCCATCAGTCTTCTACTGATCATCAGCAAAGCGATGGAAGGTGGCATCAACAGTGCTACCAAGTAGCACTTGCTTAGCATTAACCTACTTACTGATTTTCCACCAGTGTCACTCAACTGCTGACCTCATTACAGCCTTAGTTCAAACTTGGATAATAAATTCCAGAGATGAGATGAAAGTGTCTTCTCTTGACATCAAGGCCATTTTTGATTGTGTGAGCCTTAGCAAAACTGGAGTCAATGGGAATCAGGCAGAAAACTGGTTGGTGTCATACCTGACACAAAAGAAGATGGATGTGGTAGTTGGAGATCTGTCATCTCAGTCCCAAGCATCTGCAAGAGTTCCTTAGGCTGATATCCTGAGCACAAGCATCTCCAGCTGCTTCATCAATTGCCTTGCCTCCATCATAAGGTCAAAAGTGAGGATGTTTGCTGATCTTTGTACATTTTTAGCACCATTTGAGGTTCCACAGGTACTCAAGTAGTCCATGTCTAAATTCAGCAAGACATAGATAATATCCAGGTATGGGCAGCAATTAGCAAGTAAAATTCGCATTGCATAATTGTCAGGCAATGACCATCTCCATGAAGAGATTCAATTGTAATACCATCACCGAATCCCTCAATATCAACTTTCTCGGGGTACCGTTGACCAGAAACTGAACTGGACTAGCAATGTAACTATTGTGGCTATAAGAACAGGTCAGAGGTTTGAGGCTAGGAATCCTGCAGTGAGTAACTCACCTCCTGACTCCCCAGTGCATGCCCACCATCTGCAAGACATATGTCAGGAATGAGACTGAATACTTCTTAATTGCCTGGATGAGTATAGCTCCAACAACACTCAAGAAAATTGACATGACCCATTACCAAAGTGTTGTAACAATTCTTTGATTCTAAATTATATCATCCATCAAGGTGAGGGGTGTTGATATTGGAAATCGAACACTTGAACTTTACAGGAAAATAAAAATACTCATCAAACAACTTGCCATCAGACACTGGTAGATTGGAGAGGTCAGGATTCAATTAGCCAACCCAACCTTGTACCTCATTGTTGTTGTCTGTTAACTCTCTATTATCAAAATAAATTCATGAACAACAAGTTATTTTGAACATTCTGGATCAGTCACAAACTTCTTATCATATCGACAAATCAGAGAAATGATATCTTATTCATTGTTTTCTTAACTTTTTTGCTAACAAAGGTCAAAGCAGTGCTATATGACTGGCACTAAAAGTCCATGGTGAGCAGGAACCTGTCCTGGCTTCTTGACCAATGTTGCTTCCCAGACAGAAGCAGAAGGTGGTGTTTCACATTATTCATGTCAATAAAGCATTAGACCTTTAGGAGTCGCTGTTCCATTTTGAGGATGTTTCACATTTCGGTATTACGTAGAATTAAAAATAAAATTATGGACTTTCTGCCTAGAGTGAAACCAGCCGTCTTTTGATGTCCACGGAGTGACCTGCCCCCCTGAGCTGCCGAGCCTGACCCTCGGTGTGTCTCGGAACCGTTTCAATCGTCTCCTACACCCCTCCGGAAAAACTAGCATGACACACAAAGCAATGACCATTAGCGTTTATGAAACAGAAGTTTATCGAGAGATAGTAGGAACTGCAGATGCTGGAGAATCTGAGATAACAAAGTGTAGAGCTGGATGAACAC